GGGGGGGGGGGGGGGGGGGGGGGGGGGCTGTGTCTCTGCAGAAAATACCTACTTTTATGCAAAAACTCTGTAATAATTAACCTGAAATTCCGACAATTTCTAATAAATTGAGCCATCACTTAAAAATCCGTGGAAGCTATGATTTCTTATAATTTTCAAAAAAGCTATAAAATATCACAATGTTTTGTAATGATTGTGTTTTCAAGAATAGCCTGCTAATTTTGAACATCTGTAATGACATTGTTTCCCAGACTTTTTTTCCAACGCATCATGCACCCGGTTTAATGCACCGACCCAGTTTAATGCACCCATCTCGGTTTAATGCACAGACCGGATTCTGCCATCAAGATGGTTGTTTTTCAGTTTTGTTTCTATTTTTGACCCATATTCATTATTTTAGGATAAAACTTACAATAAGTCAGATATATTTGTAATACAATACCTGACAAACCATTAAGAAGGTCAATTTTAAAATCTGCCTCCCAGGGCTTATCGACCAAGGTCCAATGCCACTGTCCTATATGTCGACCAAGGTCCAATGCCACTGTCCTATATTTTTTTGTGTCTTCCTTAATCTTCAAACTGCCTCATTGTGGGATGTAAGCCACAAGTTAAAAAACTCTGGTTTATAATGAATTGAATTCATTTTATTGTTTTGTCATAATGGTTTACTAATTAATTGCTTTTTTTGGGGTAGTGGGGTGCATACACATAGCTCCTTACTATATTTCATAACAGAACTTTTTAAATTAGAAAATCAAGACCAAACGTTTCGCTATATACTTTTTTTTGTATTAGGTTTTTATTTAGGAATTCTTTTAAAAGTAAAAGTTATACTATAAAACTCTCCAGGCGAACCGGAAAAATCTATGTACTATAGAATCTTCTGTAATTGTAGAAAATCCTTCAACTAACCTTTTTGTTATTAGCCAAAGTTTCTTTAAAAAAAAAAAAGACTTTTTGGTGTTAGCTTATTTTCTGTAGTGATTTTATGACCACAATTTAAAATACGGGAGAAGAAATTATTCGTAACGTCATTTATTTAGACATTTTTCGTTACTGTTTGTTCAAACTGGTTTATAAAGTCTCATAGAAAAAGACATGATTCAGCTCCAAGATTAATATGAAGTACTTTTGGCTTCTCAAGCTTCCAATTTAAAAAAAAACAAAAACAATATGCAATATAAATTAGTGAAAATGAAAGATTCTGGTGGCCTCACTTTTTGTTCAATGGCCCATTGGCTATCATTGTCAAGGGTAGTTATGAAAGACTGTCTGTGCTGAAATGTTGTGAAAAAGATTGTTTTCATAGTGTTTAGTAATCCAGTTTGTTGGATGCTTCATTTGTGACTTAGTCCTTTAGGAATGACTAGGTATGTATCACTTAGTCCTTAGAATGACTAGGTTCTCTCAGCACACTGCTGTTCATTTTGACAACTGATTATTTCTGAAATTATTAATTATGATTGTTTTTGTTTATCTTCTTGTCCCATGGAAAAGTTGTGTATAGAGTTATTTGATGTCATTTTGTTTTGTTCAACTGTTCAAATAATTTATTTCATAGAACTCATATACATTGCGCAATCCTTAAAAATTGTTCTATTACTTGCATGCATCCTTGTCATTTTGTAAAAGTTGGTCTTTTACTGTCATCCTTTTTATGTTGTTCAAAGTTTGATCCTGCATACATTATTCTTCTCTTCACTCACCAAACTGGTTTTTTCTTCTATGAACTATAAATAATGGTATGAGATAAATAAAAGACAAAATAATCAAATGCCCCCCCCCCCCCATGTTAGTGACATCTTTCTTTCTTTTCTTCTTATATGTACCCATTGAAACCACTAGTTTAATGTAGCACCCATACCAATCTTTCTTTGTAGCACCCATAACAACCTTTCTTTGTAGCATCCATACCAACCTTTCTTTGTAGCACCCATACCAACCTTTCTTTGTAGCACCCATACCAACCTTTCTTTGTAGCACCCATACCAACCTTTCTTTGTAGCACCCATACCAACCTTTCTTTGTAGCACCCGTACCAACCTTTCTTTGTAGCACCCATACCAACCTTTCTTTGTAGCACCCATACCAACCTTTCTTTGTAGCACCCATACCAATCTTTCTTTGTGGCACCCATACCAACCTTTCTTTGTACTGACTCTCCCAACCTCTTTCTTGTTGTTATTAAAAATGAATGCCTGTTATTATTTAAAGTTTCATAAAGTTATCAAATGTTAAAAATGTAATGTGAGAAAATCTGGACATATTAATCTTCAAATCTGAACATTTGGTGTTGAAAACTGAAACGTTTTAAATGTTCAGGTTTGCTCAAAAGGAGTTTATTGCTCAACAGGAGTTCATTTTTATTTGCTGCTGTTGTGACCATGTTAAACTTCATATATTTTAGACAATGTTAAGCATGTTCCTTCAGTGGCCATGTTAAACCATTTATTTTATATCACTGGATATGTTAAACCATTTATATCATTGGACACGTACAACTTTATACTTAACTACTTTAATTAAATTTAAAATGGGAATTGAGTCTTTGCTATGTGTGCAGTATGTGTACATTTATGTATGGTATGTGCATTTTTATTTACAGTATGTGTACAGTTTATGTTTTATTGATGTTTCAATTCTAAATTCAATTTTTCCAGGCCTTGTGCACAAAGAAAAAAAAAATTGTCATTTGTTTGTATTATTTGATTTATTATTACCTTAAAAGTATTGTTCCATACAATATTATTTATAATGTGTAAAATGTATTGTTCCATCCACTGTTATAATGTGAAAAATGAAATACATGAATTGTTGTTGGATTCTGTGAAATTTATTGTGTGAGTAAAGTTGTTATAAAATATTAGATCAATATCACTCAATCTAAATATCTAATGAACACCAATACAATATCACTCAATCTAAATATCTAATGAACACCAATACAATATCACTCAATCTAAATATCTAATGAACACCAATACAATATCACTCAATCTAAATATCTAATGAACACCAATACAATATCACTCAATCTAAATATCTAATGAACACCAATACAATATCACTCAATCTAAATATCTAATGAACACCAATACAATATCACTCAATCTAAATATCTAATGAACACCAATACAATATCACTCAATCTAAAAATTTAATGAACACCATTAAAATATCACTCAATCTTAAAATTTAATGAACAACACCAGTACAATATCACTCAGCCTCAAATGGATTATCAATTAATGCAATAATCAAATAAAGATTAGTTTTTTATGTCTCAACCCAACAGGTATAGGCCTAGCTTGTTCTGTAGCATCCCTCAATCCAACAAGTATTGGCCTATCCTTCTTTGTAGCATCCATAAATCCAACAGGTATAGGCCTAGCCTTTTCCTTAGCATCCCTCAATTTAACAGGTACGGGTATAAGCCTTTTTTTAAGCATCCCTCAACCCAACAGGTATATGCCTAATCTTTTTTTAAACTCCCTCAATCCAACAGGTACAGGCCTCGCCTTTTTAAAGCATCCCTCTGTCCTACAGGTATTAACCTTTTCTTTAGCATCCCTCAATCCATTAGGTACCGGTATAGGCCTAGCCTTTTCTTTATCATCCCTCAAACCAACAGGTATAGGCCTAGCCTTTTGTTTAGCATCATATTAGATATATCTAATAAGCAATAGATCAATATAAAAAGTGGGTACTAATTAATTACAGTATTATTTTATAATAAGAAAATTGTTAAACTCTGTAACAAATTCAATCTTGTACAAACTTATGTTTGAAAAAATTGCATTCAAACAAACAATTTTTCTGCAAACAAATTTCCAGAAACGCCATAATGCATTCCTGCCTTATTAATTCATCAATAAATCTCTGGGGATGTTCAGACTCTTAAAAATGATCACAGTTATTTTCTAGTTTACGGAAATCGAATAAATTTAAATGCGCAAAAAATATATATTTCCACTTTTATTTTAGTAAAAGTTTAAGTATTATTTTTATAAATTACAAATACATTTAAAGTACACACAATAACTATAGAACTATCTTAAGCACTTTATATGCATTTGAAAGTTATGAAGAAAAAAAATTAAATTAAAAAAAACTTATGATCAAAGAATTTGATCGTTATCACATTGCAGGAAAACCTAAACATCAGTTGTTTTTTTTTACATTTTTTGTGCGTTTTTTAATACTGTGAAATAAAATTAAAGTTAATTTGTTCTAATTAAAAACGCAAATGACGTCATAGTGTGAGTGTCTATTTTTAGCCTAAACTTTAAGTTTCTTTGATTTAATATAACGTGTTACATAACTGAAATGTACTTTCATTTTAACCTTCCTAAAATTAATAAATATAATTGATTGCTCTTTAAATTGTTAGTAAAATACACACAAATTCTAGCTTTGTATTTTTAACATTTAAAAAGATTTACTTTTTTTTTTTTTAAATTCCAAAAAACATACTTTTATTAATTTTATAGCATAATGAAAACTAAACCTTTAATTATACTTCTAATAAGAAAATACAGTTTAAGTCAATCAGAGCAGCGAAAATCAATAGCCAAGTAGGCTAGCATTCACAAATCCACTTATAACTCAACCATATAGAAGGGACTAAAATCCGGTGGAAGTTTTATTAATTATATTTACATCTGGGGGAGGGGATTGGTCATTTTGCCCCAGGCAGCACAAGATACGTCTCAAAATAAAGGAATGAATTTGATAAATAATTAATATTCTTGGGTACATACATATCAGAGGTTGGAAATATGATGTTAGTGATAATTTAGATTCAGTAATTTAAAGTCATGTTTAGAGGGGGAAAAAATAAGTTAAAGGGAGTAGGGAAGACGTATAATATATTGCAAACCCCAGCTTTAGTTTTTACCAAACTGAACCAAACCTCAGCTTCTTCTTCTTTATTTTGAGGGCCCACGATCAATGAATTGATCATTCAGGCTCCTATGTTTCAGAGGGGTTCGCGATGTTACTGTGCTTGGGTTTCAATGGGATACTTCACTGGTTGCAAGGGCTACTCAGCAGTGGTGTTACGAACTGGGAGTTGCAATACAGGAGGCAGTAGACACAAATGTGTCGAGTGTAGGCGCCTCAGCTTTAGTTGTTACCAAACTGAACCAAACCTCAGCTTTAGTTTTTACCTAACTAAAGCAAACCCAAGCTTTAGTTGTTACCAAACTGAACCAAACCCAAGCTTTAGTTGTTACCAAACTGAACCAAACCCAAGCTTTAGTTGTTAACAAACTGAACCAAACCCAAGCTTTAGTTGTTACCAAACTGAACCAAACCCAAGCTTTAGTTGTTACCAAACTGAACCAAACCCAAGCTTTAGTTGTTAACAAACTGAACCAAACCCAAGCTTTAGTTGTTATCAAACTGAACCAAACCCAAGCTTTAGTTGTTACCAAACTGAACCAAACCCAAGCTTTAGTTGTTACCAAACTGAACCAAACCCAAGCTTTAGTTGTTAACTAATTATGTTTGACCCAATCAATATTGATTTTTCCTCCAGTCCAGATAACATCAAATAAGGGCATCATCTTAAATTTTACTTTCTTTAATATTAAAAAAAACAACCAAAGTACACATTTGAAGAATTTTTAATCAAAAAACAAACACTAATGAAAATATCAGACAACCCTGCAAACCCATGCACATGTCAGACAACCCAACAAACCCATGTACATGTCAGACAACCCAACAAACCCATGTACATGTCAGACAACCCTGCAAACCCATGCCAGACAAAGCCAACAAACCCATGTACATGTCAGACAACCCAACAAACCCATGTACATGTCAGACAACCTAACAAACCCATGTACATGTCAGACAATGTTACAAACCCATGTACATATAAGACAAAATTACAAATCTGTGTACATATTAGACACACTTATAAATCCATGTACATAAAAGACCAAATTACAAAACCATTGTCATATCAGACAACTCTACAAACACATGTACAAACAATTCTTCAAACCCAACTTAATTATCATGATATTAAAATATAACATGGTTTGCAATCAAAATATGGAAATCTTTTTAAATACTTTATTTAATTCTCTTTTGTTTGTGTGTTTCTTTTTTTCTGTCTGGGTGTGAGGCAAATTCTTCAGACGGCTAACTGACCCACCTGCCATCACCCTATCAAGCTGAAACTTGGCACATACACTCATTGGCCATGACAACACATTCTATCAAAGTTTCAAGCCCATCCAAAAATCAGTATTTTCTGTTTTCCAAGGGGATGGATGATGAAGGAAATATGATGCCACAGGCTGCACCAAATAAAATGCCTGATCACTGTGCTATAGTGAGAGTTTTAAAAATATCGCAAGTGCGTTAGGTGCGTAATATTTTCTTTTCTTTTTCTGAAATCGTTGGTGAAATAAATCTGCTGTGTAAAAGAGGGTGGGTCATAAGAATATTAATATATTAGGAAAAATTTTTGCTTTTAGGGGTTGTTTCATGTTTAAAATCTTCCACAAGTTGAACAAATTAGATGAAGATAACCTGCATGAAATAAAAGCCATACGTCATTGCATTGGACTCTCCAGAAAAGCTCTTCTGAAACACATTTTGGGTAACGTTCTTAAGCATGGCATAACCATCAGTTTTACGTGTGCTCATGCATGAATGTAGTAATTCCACTTTAACATTTGCATGTACACATCTATTGAATGAATCTAATATTTAACATTTGCATGTACACATCTATTGAATGAATCCCATAATTTAACATTAACATTTGCATGTACACATTTATTGAATGAATCCCATAATTTAACATTAAAATTTGCATGTACACATTTATTGAATGAATCCCATAATGTAACATTAAAATCTGCATGTACACATTTATTGAATGAATCCCATAATGTAACATAACATTTGCATGTATCGCACACATCTATTAAATGAGTCCCACAATGTAATAACATTTGCATGTATCGCAGACATCTATTAAATGAATCCCATAATTTAACATTAATATTTGCTTGTACACATCTATTGAATGAATCTCATAATGTAAATTGTAATTATTTTTTTAATAATAAAAATAAGTTTATGAATAATTCTGGGGACAAAAGTATCTTGTTAAATTAACTGGGGGACTGAACTGTCAAGTTAATCAAGTGTGGGACTGATGTGTCTATTTAATCAAGTGTAGGACTGAAGTGTCTAGTTAATCAAGTGTAGGACTGTTGAGTCTAGTTAATCAAGTGTAGGACTGAAGTGTCTAGTTAATCAAGTGTAGGACTGAAGAGTCTAGTTAATCAAGTGTGGGACTGAAGTGTCTAGTTAATCAAGTGTAGGACTGAAGTGTCTAGTTAATCAAGTGTGGGACTGAAGTGTCTAGTTAATCAAGTGTAGGAGTGATGTGTCTAGTTAATCAAGTGTGTGACTGAAGTGTCTTAGTTAATATCCATATTTGACAACTGGAACTAGGGGTGCGGCTTAAAATAAGGAGGGGCCTATTTCTGGAACAATAATACAGTATTTACAACCAAATATTGTACAGGTCTCTAGAATTGGGTTAAAAATCATCAAATATATTGATGAGTAGCGATATTGTATTGGTTCCACTAATTGTATTAAAAGAGCTATAAAAATTTCAAGTTAATACTTTAAATTGAATATATGGATTTATTTAATATGGTACACATTTTCTCAGGGGGGGGGGGTGTTAAAAGATAAGATTCTTTTATTGATCCAAACAAATGGAAATATGTTCGAAAGAAGAAATGCTTATGACATAATCTGACCCAGGCATAACATGACAGATTCAAAATGTTGAACAAACAAAATTAGATTAATAACTTTTTTTTATAGAGAATATTTGCTTATCACAGGTTGAAACAAGTCTCCAGATATCTGTCAAGCTCTAATTAAGAAACGGAGCTAACTTCCTATCAAACATTTTATTAGTTATATGTAGATTTTTAAAATCTTTTTAAAATACTAGTGACTCATCATCCACCTGCACTGACATCGTCCACATGAAATGAAACACTCTCCACATGAGATGATGCATCATCCACATGATATGATGCATCATCCACATGAGTTGACACATCATCCACATGAGATGCTACATGAAATGAATTTGTTATTTGATCTGATAAAACTTTGATATTCAGCCAATTGTGTGGTGTAAAGTTTGTACATTTTTAGAATGCTGCTGGAGGATCTTATCCCAAAACTATTGTCATCTGATATCTACTGTCATCAATTGTCATCATCTGTCAACTCCTGTGTCTAATCCAAAAGCCTGCTTGGCAGATTCATATGTGGCAAAAGAAATGGCAACTGTGGGCATAATGCGAATATAGTTGATGCTCATCCCTCGATACAATCCTCGGACAATGCCGTTTTCTTGGTAGACATCAACCATGACCCTGAGCCAACCTCTAGAAGAATAAACAAATAATAGAATTAAATTTTAGACAAAGTGTTGTGGGNGAAAAGCAATTAGGGGGGGGGGGGGGGGGTGGGATATTAATTATAGAAACTTTAGGCAGGTAATCTTAAATTAGAGGAACTGTGGGCAGTTAATTCCCAAAAAGAGACTCATACAGCTGACAAATTATTAAATTATAGACCTTTGCTAATTCATGATAAGATATTTGCACTTTAATTTGGGAGATTTCTGCCAGCCATAGTCCTACCAAATGTTGCCAGCCATAGTCCTACCAAACGTTGCCAGCTATAGTCATACCAAATGTTGCCAGCCATAGTCCTACCAAATGTTGCCAGCCATAGTCCTACCAAAGGTTGCCAGCTATACCCCTACCAAATGTTGCCAGCCGTAGTCCTACCAAAAGTTGCAAGCCATAGTCCTACCAAATGTTGTCAGCTATAATCCTACCAAATGTTGCCAGCTATAGTCCTACCAAATGTTATTGACAAAGGATATGTAACAACATAAAATTAATCCCACACTTCTACTTGAAACTACATAGAACTAATGTTAAATGTTGTGTGTTAGTTGTTTGCTTGTATATGTGAATTAATAATAGGAAATTACATATAGAAATTGAGCAAGAATAAAAAATGGTTGTGATTTCGTTAATTGACCAAGGTTTGTTTTGGCATCATCATTGGCCAGAAGAGCATGAGGTTAGGGTTAGAAGAGCATGAGGTTAGGGTTAGAAGAGCATGAGGTTAGGGTTAGAAGAGCATGAGGTTAGGGTTAGAAGAGCATGAGGTTAGGGTTAGAAGAGCATGAGGTTAGGGTTAGAAGAGCATGAGGTTAGGGTTAGAAGAGCATGAGGTTAGGGTTAGAAGAGCATGAGGTTAGGGTTAGAAGAGCATGAGGTTAGGGTTAGAAGAGCATGAGGTTAGGGTTAGAAGAGCATGAGGTTAGGGTTAGAAGAGCATGAGGTTAGGGTTAGAAGAGCATGAGGTTAGGGTTAGAAGAGCATGAGGTTAGGGTTAGAAGAGCATGAGGTTAGGGTTAGAAGAGAATGAGGAGATAAAAGAATGATATGAGAGAGTTATGTTAATGATTTGGGATAATTTGAATATTTCTGCATTGATCGAATGTTTTTGTAGTACATGTAAAACAATATCTGTGTAATACATGTAAAACAATATCGGTGTAATACATGTAAAACAATATCGGTGTAATACATGTAAAACAATATCGGTGTAAAACATGTAAAACAATATCGGCGTAATACATGTAAAAAAATATTGGTGTAATACATGTAAAACAATATCGGTATAATACATGTAACAAACCACAAACCTGGGATAGTGAATAACAGCTTCCTGTTGTTTAACCACCATGCCAGATAACTGCATCTTTCTCCTTACAACATCAAGTGGATACCTAAACAAAGCAATCAGATTTGGAAATCAAAAGCAAATAGAAATTTATATCACATTGAGCAACAGTTTATCAATTTAAGTACTTTAAAAACTATTATTAAGTCAAACAATATTGTGACAGACCTCAAGTAAAATTCAATGCTACTAATTAAATGGTAAATTAAAGCCATATCGGCTAATGGAAGATTTATAAGAGTGACTAATATGAGCATGAAGGGTTATAGTGTAAAGATTATAAGAGTGACATGAAGGGTGACAGAGTAAAAGATTTTAAGAGTGACATGAAGGGTGACAGAGTAAAAGATTTTAAGAGTGACATGAAGGGTGACAGAGTAAAAGATTTTAAGAGTGACATGAGGGGCGACAGAGTAAAAGATTTTAAGAGTGACATGAAGGGTGACTGAGTAAAAGATTTTAAGAGAGACATGAAGGGTGACAGTGTAAAAGATTATAAAAGTGAAATGAATGGTGAGAGTAAAAAGATTATAAGAATAAATTGACAGGAGTGAGTGTAAAGAGAGTCAGCAAATGATTTTGTGGGCAGTGTTGGTTAGTTTAGTGTAAGGCTTGTATGAAGACGTTTTTTTTTAATTGATAGTGTGGCATTGTTAAGAAATAGAAGAGTAAAATGTGAATATAATGAACCGATACTCATCAAATTGTTTGTGATATGGCTTCTGTCATATAAAATATTTATGAAATTGTTAGTGCTATGCCTCCTCTCACATAATGTATTTATGAAATTGTTATCGATATGCCTTCTCTCATATAATGTATTTATGAAATTGTTAGTGCTATGCCTTCTCTCATAAAATGTATTTATACAATTGTTAGTGTTATGCCTTCTCTCATAAAATGTTTTTATGAATTTGTTAGTGCTGTGGCTCCTGTCGTATAATGTAATTACAAAATTTTTTGTGCTGTGGCTACCAATGTATAATGTACTTACAAATTTGTCTTTCCTATGGCTCCTACCATACAATGTACTTACAATATTGTCTTTGCTATGGCTCCTACCATACAATGTACTCACAATATTGTTTTTTCTAAGACTCCTACCATAGAAAAATTGTTTGTGCTGTAGCTAAAAATGTAAAACATACTTACGAAATTGTTTGTGCTATGGCTCCTGCCAGCCCACCACAGACAAGTTTAGCTGGCAATATCAAGACAACACCACCTGTTGTCTGTGGACAAGGTTTTCCAAGTAGGTCAGGGAATGTGTCCAGGGCAAAGTTTTTCAACATCTCAAAGCTACTAAATGAAAGACCTGGTTCAAATAAAAATATACCATTTGCATACATTAAACACATTCAGGCATGAAAAACTGTGTTTTAACTTGCTTAGTGAATAAGATAATTGCCAACCTTTATTTAATGGTTTGTAAATGTTTCAAATTTTGTTATTAAAAAAACTAAATCAATGTAAATAATTATTGACGTTTACCTGCAAATTATGCAAGTTTGTAAGGTTTAAAATAAATACATTGCTGTCCAGGTATGAAAACCACAGTGTTCAGGGTGAGATTTATTGTAATCGTGAGTCATTAATTTTTAATTGTATTCTTATATTTCAATGTGATTGGTCGAAAGGGAAATAATAATAAACTTGTGAGTGAGGATACATGGAGTTTGATCACAAGAGAGTAGTTAGTTTGTGTTGAGAGTGCCCAGAAATCATGTTAGATTTCTTGTAGATCATCAGTGTTGATTAGGGAGAGATTAGTTTGACTGTCATGAGCTCCGGATGTGTTGAAAAGTTAGTAGTGTCAGCCATCTTTGTGTCAGTCATATTTGTGCTATCATAGAATGGATACAGATTTTAATGTTGAAAATATATGAGAAATAAAGTCATTAGATTGAGTGGTATACAGTATTCAGTAAAGAAGATCTTTATACAATTGGACACTGTGTTGGCATTAAAATCATTCAAGAGTCCTGTTTGAGAGACAGAAGGCAATGAGAGCTAGAACTGCCGACAGATGGTCCAAGTAAGTTTGTTACAAGTATTAACCCCCAAACTGTCACAATGGCCTATCAACTGCCTCTATGGCTGCTGCTGTGGTGTTATGGCCAATATATCGGCCTCTACCAAAAAATAATCTTGTAAATGTGAATCATGAAGGATAACTCTTGTAATCTAGATTTACTGCCCTTTCATTCAAGTGTTCATGTTTTTTTGTTTTGATCATTTGAAATTATCTGGGATTTTTTGTTAATACAAACTGGTAGGACTCAGATGCTGGCCTTGCAAAACAAAAGCCAAATCCATTTGAATATTCTTTGTGTAAGTGATTTTGAAAATACTTTTGTGGGGATTACTTATGGTAGTGATCATTACAATGGTGGAGCTAGGACTAGTAGCAGTTCAAGTTCTAATAGTGCACGGTGTGAGGAATAGGTTTGTAATGAATTTAATAAGTATTATAGAAAGAATTAGGTAGGTCACCAATCAATTTATGTCTAATTTTTTTACATTTTTATACCTCTGAACAACTGTAAGCTGTCTAAACTGAAAGAATATTGTTTTCTATGACCAAAAACATATTTAGAGGATAACAAGAGAAGTCAGTATGGGTGTGAGTTGAAGTCAAATAAATAGTAGCTCAATATTACTCACTGCTTCAAGGTCAAGGTCATGTTCATTTTTTACCTCACAGAATTCCAAAATTCATACCATTTGATTTCTTGTCCAATTTATTCTTAGAATATCTATACTTAAATAGGTCTCTGGATTTATTTTATAATAATTTTGGAAACTTAAGTCTTGCACTACATCATGTTTGTATTTGGCAGTTCCTGGGTTAAGGCATCTGTGTAGAACAAAGACTAAGACCCTTATATCTGTGTAGAGCATAGACTAGACCCTTAAATCTATGTAGAACATAGACTAGGCCCTTATATCTGTGTAGAACATAGACTAGACCCTTATATATGTGAAGAACATAGACTAGACCTTTATATCTGTGAAGAACATAGACTAGACACTTATATCTGTGAAGAACATAGACTAGACCCTTATATATGTGAAGAACATAGACTAGACCCTTATATCTGAGAAGAACATAAACTAGACCCTTATATCTTTGTAGAACACAGACAAGACCCTTGTCAACTTCAGGATATTGGATTGCAAAAATGAACAGAGTAGATGCCTACCTGCATAAGGTGCCATTCCAAGAATGGTGGGAACAATGCCCTGGTATAAACCTCTAGTTCCACCCTCCAGATGACGAATAGATCTAATTGTATGAATAATCCCATCATATATGGCCTCCCCTTTCACCTGAAAAGCTAATCTGGCTCTTATCATATCTAAAGGGTAGGTAATCATCACTGCAGTAAGACCTGAAGATTGAAATCAAGGTACCTATAATTATTTATTGAAATATTTGAAAGCTTTAACAGGCTATGGTGATGCTCTACTTCATTTTAAGCAGAAGAACAATTCCATACACATGAAAAAAAACAATGTCTTGAAGAAGTGGGCTTCAATAGATAACAAATCCCTTTGGTTTTATTAAATATTCAATGAATTAAAGAATTATCATATGTTGTTGATCAGCTATATTATCCACATAAGTATCATATGTTGTTGATCAGCTATACTATCCACATAGTTAATATGCCCCACTTCATGAGTGGGCTTCATATTTCTTAAGCATTATTTTCAATGAAGAAAATTAGCCCAACCTGCCAATGAGCCGCATATCAACTTGCATATATTTGGTGAATGGGACAATAAAGGGACATGCTTAGCCAACTGGAAATAAAAGGAGACATAACAAATAATAACAACTGAGTTTATTTATTATTTTACCTGTAAATGATACAGGATTCTGAAACAATTAAAGGCTTAGTTAATTGAAACAATAAGCCAAATAATTGTATTGATTGTAATTAAGATACATGATTTTATTAATTGCATTCATTTAAAAATATTGTGAGGTATTGAAAAATAAGGCAGCTTAAATAACCCTTTTGTCGATGAATTGAATAAAAAAAAATGTGTTGTGTACATTTGATATATTCACCTTTTTGAAGTGCTCATAGCTTAAAAACTGAATAGCTGCATATGGGAAAATTCTCAACATTTGAACTCCATTACCTTGGTACAGACCAATGAAACCCTCCTTACTGACAACATGCCTGACTGTTGAAAATACACCTGGATAATAAAAAATGAGTGAACATGTGCTTCGATCTACTTTTGAATAGTGTCTCCCTATAATATCCTATGATATCCACACTTTGCTTTGCATATAATTATTCTCTGAGAAACATAAAAAATATTCTGTTATTTACTGATATGTTAACATTTGTAATATGACAGCACAGAACGGACATAATTTTTTTATCAACATTTTTGTAATGTGACAACAAAGGTCGAAAATAATTTTTTTTATCAACATGTTTGTTATATAACAATACAGAATGGACATAACTTTTTTATCAACCTGTTTGTATGTAATATGACACAGAGAACAAACATAATCTTTCTTACCAAGATGTTTGTAATGCTGATTGTGTGCTTGAAGCAATATTTTCACTCTATCCAAAGGAGCAACTGCAGTTTTTGCGCAAATCCCAGCCAACCCTGGCAAAGACACACACAATGGATTAGGCATAACTTCATTACTTTGAGGATATTTACAAAATGTATTCACCTTAATGGTGAAAGTTGTCTACCGCTAGAGCTGATACCGTCATCACCTTGATGTTGAAAGTTGTCCAACGCTAGATCTGATACAATCATCACCTTAATGTTGAAAGTTGTCAAACGATAGAGCTGATACCATCATAAAAAGCCTGTCTGGTGATTATTTTGTTTTTTGTTTTAATCTGAAGAATGCAAATAAATATTCCTACAAAAATAATTACTTTTTAGCAATTTTAGCCCATCATTTCATTCCATGATTATGAGCCAGAGAATATTCTCGTGGCCCAAATGAAGAACGAAACTTTGATTCATCATAATTATCCAAATTGATAAAAATATGCCAAAGAATGAATAACCTGCCTTTTCACCTCTAGATGAACTCGTTGAACTATTTTTTAAGTGCTTATACTTTTGAATGCCAACTCCCAGTAATAACACTCTAGCCATGTAGAGCTACTTTTAAATACTAAATTTACAATAACACTAGCAATATAGATATAGATTTAAATACTAATTTCAAATAATAACACTTTCGCAATTTAGATGTACTTTTCAATAGAATCTCCTTATAATAACACTATTGCAAGTTAAATCAACTTTTGAATGGTATCTCTCTATTATAACACTTTAGTAAGTTCAATCTACTTTTAAATAGTAGGCCTATCTCACTATAATAACACTCTTGTAAGTTCAATCTACTTTTGAACACCACTTACCTCCTGAAATAAATGTTTTCACAGCTATGGTTGCCTGGTTGCCTGTGACTTCACTGCCAGAAGTGCTCACCATTCTTACAGCAGATTTGCTCAAGCAGTACAACACCAAGTAAAAGCAAGTAAACAATGTCAACTGCAGGACATGGCACCAGTGATAGGTGACTAGCGTTTTAGCTAATTGCTCATTAATGTACAGCTTTTAAACCTGAAAAAAATGTAATGAAAGAAATATAACTTCTCTTTCTTTTATTTCTTTCTTAAACAATTATCAAAGATCAACATATTTAAAAAGATACAGTGACCAATGTGGTACAGTGACCAATGTGGTACAGTGACCAATGTGGTGCAATTTATTTTTGTTGTTGTGGATGTGACATATATATTTAAAGGATAAATAAAAAAGATCATTTAAATGAACTGCAGACTTTCTTGAATACAAAAGTTTTGGAATAAGGTTTAAACACAACTAAAATGCTGATTGAAAATACACACTAGACTTTGACCAAAGACACAATCTATATGAGACTTAGGAAAACATCACAATACCCATGAGACTTGGGCAAACTTCACAATACACATCATACTTGGATTAACATCACAATACACATGTTTCCTGGACACAAGTCACAGTACATAGCAGACTTTGACACAAGTCAAAACTTCTGTTTAAGAGGGAGCGGTGTGTCAATAATAATAATTTTTTCATGAGACGTAAAAATAAAAATGATTGCCGTCTTTCACCGTCTTGTTTCCATCAAAGAGAATGTGAAATGAAGTATAAGCCTACTTATGGATTACTAATGGACCTTGCTAATTCTTATAAGCCAGAAACTGAAACATGAGGAGCCACATCTGGTGCCTGGTAATGGATCATGAACTAATTAAACCACTACTTGAAAAAAATGTCACAAATATTATAGAGTTTATAAAAGATTAGTTTAGTAAGGTATACAGACGTGTTTACCCTAAAACTCTTAAAATCGTACAATATCATTCAATACATTATCTTAATAGTAAAAAATAAACATACATTATATATAGTGTATACACCTCAAAATCGTACATTGTACGCCAAAATCATAAGAGTAAACAGGTCTGGGTATATATTGTAAAGTACAATAAAAACTTTGTTGTTAGGTACTTATTGTAGATTAGTTCCATCTATCCCCTGCACCTTCTGCACCAGAACATTTCATGGCAGAATTGGCCTGATCAGCCATTTGTGCACCCACGCTCCAGCAAGAAGCCAATGTTTAAAATGGTAATGATCGATTTTGAGTACAATAAAGATTTGGTTTTTACTTATGTATTGTAAGAGTATTTCCTATTTGTACTTGATAACCCAAACACTAACCAGATGACCTAGCTGAGAACCTAAGCACAGTGAAGTAACTTGTGTAGTCCCAACAGTCAACATAAGGTGAATAGTTGGTCCTTAAGATAAACCTTCCCGTTCTTCACTGGGCATTATTTGCATAATAACTAAAATCTAACGATCGATAAAGTTTAAAAGAAATATATTCAAATAATTTTTTTTATAAGTTTCTATAAAATTTAACTTACAAGGTGCAAAGGAAATTTAAAAAAAAAATTCATTTGAAACTTGGACCCTAAAAAAAAATTAATGTGTCCCAATTCTGTGCCAAAATGACCTACAATTAAAAAGAAAGTAGCATACATAACTAAATATGCTCTCTTTTGATAAATTTGATTGGTTAGGACAGTGGTCGGCAAACCACAACCACGCTCACGAGCCGCATCTGGCTCTTTAACGACCTGAGTGCAGCTCAACCAGTCATCCACAAATTGGTTTGAGTTTGACTCCAAAAAACATGGTTCTTGGCAGGTTCTTGAAAAAAAATTTGGCCCACAAAAAAAAAATTAATTATCCTATTGCTGATTTTTGCACACAATTCAACCAGAGCGATAGCTTGAGCCTTGCAACGCCTGGGGCTGGAGGTGGCCTCGAGTTTTAAAGAGATCAAAAGAAATTAAGATTATTGAAAAGTATTTTTACTAGATTAATAGTTAGTAAATGAGTAATTTGACCCACCCTGCATACCCTCTTGATAATGCTGCAGTCCCCCATGATGATGGGACCCACTTTGCATCAACCTTTGATAATGCTGGGTTCACTGCGAGATTGTTTAGTGCTATATTTTCTATTAAATGTTTAAACACATGGAGCTCACAAACTAATGATTGAAGTATCAATCTCAACTGAGTCTCATTCAATTTTTTGTCAAACTTTTTTTTGTCAGACAAAGAGTGAAGAAAAACATTTAGATTATTTAGATGCCTAAAATAAGATTAAAAGCCGCTCACAGAACAAAAGTGAGACCTTTTATGTTGACCACAGGTTAAGACCCTTGCTCTAAAGCAGTGTTTTTATGGCATGGGTTTTTTTTTGAACATTTAAGTTGATAAGTTTCCAACTACACCAGGGACTGAAGTGTCTAAAGCCAGGTTTATTAATTATTTTGTATACTTTTATTATGGTGTGCAGACCAGCAATTTTGAATGCAGCCTTTCAGGTACAAAACTGAAAAGTGGGAGAGGCCTCCAAAACTTTTATGACTGAGACATGATGGCTCTGGACTGATTTCATTTAATTTAATTTAATTTTCAGGGGAAGGGACCTCCCTCTTAAGGCCACTCCCCTGAGTTTCAAGACAAAATTTTTTTTTTTTTTAATTTTTGTGGCCTAATAGCCATATAGAATAGTTATAGCCAGCAATCCTGATAGGTAGACTATAATAATAATAAAAAAAATAATTAATAATTTAATAAACACAATTTACAGCACTAACACAAGATTAAGTATTTAAGTATCATTAAGTAGAGTGGTGTTAGCTAAGCTTACCAGATTCTCTGGATGCCAAATACAGACACAAAGTTTAGCAGAGTTCAGTTAGTTAAAGTTAAGTTAAACAAAAAAAGTTAGTAGACTTAAGTAGGCACTTTGATTAAAATTTCAAAACATTTTTAAAAATATAAAAATACTACAGCTGTCTAGAGCCCATGTAATAGTTTACAAAAACACCAAGATCAACTTTCTAGCTCAAGTGGTTCAAAAGTTATGAATTTTTTAGTAAGGATCTCCAAACCCCTTTTTCACTATGGGATTTTCCTCCACATTTCATCACCCTCATATTGCTATTGTTTATGTGCCTATAACTTTGTTATAAAATGAGACAAAAATATGATATTTTCAGGGAACACAGTTAAATATGAGTTCTTCTAAATAAAGCCACAAATTACAATTTTAGTTTTTGTTAATATTCCGCAAAAAAATATTTTTAATCTTGATAATTTTCCTTATTAAATGTATAAAATATGCTGACTCGTAGCTTACTTGTATTAATTAATTAATGTTTTTTAAACATAAATTTTCAAAATTTCCCTAATTTAATAATAATAATAATAATATTCTTTAGATATTAATTTCAAATTTTCTGTGGAATTGTTTAAAATTTATCAGTATAAACAAATAATACAGGGATTATTTGATAATTTATATAATTTATATAAAATTGACGATTATACTTTTCATTTTACCATATACAATGTATGCATTTTGGTCCCATTTGAATATGACCAAAAAATTAGTAATCTTGTTTCACAAATCAACATGTATCAACTTTGGCTGTTGATAGAAATTAAAATAAGTTCTAGTCATTTCCTTGAGGTAAGTACAAGCTTTTATGATTGTTCTTTAGTAAAAGCTTAAGAAATTCTTGGATTACTGTATCAGAAAGTGTGTTATTTCTTGAAGAATTCTAAGGATTATATAAGTTTCTTGTGGAATATTGTGATTTGTGAGTGAATTCAGGATATTTCAATATCAAAGGTAAGTGAATATTTTTTAAAAACATTTTTATTTTAAAATTTAACAATCATAATTTCCATTAAATAATAAAATATGATTACATGGCCTAAAATATCATTAACTATAATAGTTAATTGTTTATTAATAGGTCTTGCAATAATAAGTTGGGATGGTACTAGACCTATAGGCTACTATAGGCAATATGCTATACTATACTAGGCTTATAGGATGGATATATATAAATTTCTAGTTCTCTCTCCGTTGATGAAGAGATCAATATCAGGATTGGAAAAACAGCAGCAACTATGGCTAAACTGAATAAGCGGGTGTGGAATAATCCCAATCTAACTGATAAAACAAAAATAAGTGTATATCAGGCATGCGTGCTTAGCACGCTCCTATATGGTAGCGAAGTGTGGACCACATATACCAGTCAGGCGCGGAAACCCAACAGCTTCCATCAAAGATGTCTGCGTTGCATTTTGCGCATTCGTTGGCAGGACAGGGTGCCTAACATGGAGGTCTTTGAACATGCACACATGTTTAGCATATTCTCTTTTCTTATCATGAGACGCCTTCTCTGGTTAGGTCATGTACGGAGAATGGAGCAAGGACGTATCCCAAAGATTCTGCTGTATGGAGAGTTGGCAGAGGGGACAAGACATATTGGATGACCGCGCCTGAGATTTATTGACGTTTGCAAACGAAGCATGAGGGAATCCAATATTGAAACAAACTAATGGGATTTCATTGCCGAACATCACTCCAACATGCGTAAAGCAGTGTTTGGAGGAATGAAAAAGGCAGAAGTTACTCGAAAAGAGGCCCTCGAATCAAAAAGAACAATTCGTCAATCAAGAATTTACCGAGATTCAATATTCTCCTGCGTGAGATGCAGCCGTGATAGCCATTCAAGGATTGGCCTAGTGAGCCACTCGTCAAAGTGTAAAACTATATAGCTACTCCATCGTCTCACGTAGACAGAAGGATGCCATAATATATATATATTTATATTTATTTATACTATTAGTTGTCATAATACAATAAGGAAAGGGCTATTTATCCCACTTCCCCAAAATAAAAGCATCAGATAAAAGGAATTCGTGCTATTAAATTGTTGCTTTGTTTTAAAATATTATTAGAGGATAATATGCTTGATTTCCAGTGTAAATCAAGCTACTTACTACAAAAACTTTCATTATCCATAATAGGTAATTTTGGAACACATGTGACAAAAATTGTGTGCAAAAATTTCTCACCTATGCACTGGTCCTAACCTCACAAATTTTTGATATGTTGAAATTATGCCTTCATCTAACATTGGCATTTTCTTTTTTTAAACTTATATTTTCAACAAAAAAATTATGAATGATTCTAATTAGCTATTATCATTAATTTTCAAAGTCAAACCATCAAATTTTTCTAAAAAGAAAATGTCAAATGAACAAGAATAATGTCTGCTTTAAGTTGAGGGCAGAAGTAGAATTTATTAAAAAACTAACTTGAGCAAAAATAATCCTAAACAACACTACCCTCGGTAAATTAAAAAGTGGAGGTTGCCATTTTGATAACGAATTCACGATACCCGGTTTTCGCCATTTCCTGGATCATATCGAGGTCCCTTATTTAAGTTTAAGACTAGAGTCACTTTCACTTAGTAGAAGGGTATTGGGTTAGGTAGTTTAAGCGACGCTTAAGTAATAAATTTTAACTAAAATTTTAAGTTATAATTTATAATTATAAGCTCAGTTGTTTGTTAAGTTAATCATTAATCAGTGTCAGACAAGTTAAGTTAAAGATTATACTTTATTAAAGACTTAAATTTTAAATTAAGTGAAGTAACAGTAATCAGTAAAGACTTGAGACACTTGAGTAAATAATAAAGTTAATAAAGTAAAGTAGTCAGTAGTATAATAAAAACGCAGCTCAATTTCTCACCATGGTTGGACTCTATCATACATGCTGATAATTTCATCGTTCAAAGTTAATTTGTTAAAGTTCATAAATTAGCACATTTCAAATCTGTATCACAATCGTAATGACTAAAGGAAATAAAATTGAAAAATCTTAACGATGTGATTATTCTCAAAAATAAAAAGAACTCTTTACGCTCTGAAGTTTAGAGCTGCTGATAATAATTTAATATTTTTATTTGAAAAGCTGATTCTTTAAAATAAAACATTTTCGCAAATATACTTTAAAATAAGTGACTACAAAAAATATCATTTTAAAGGCCCAAAATATTAAGTAGCTTATTCTCGAGGAAAAGTTGACTTTTAGTTTGGCAGACCAGTGGAATAGTTTCGAAATTGTACAACGGATCAGTGTCAGATGTATTAAGATTTAGAATGAGAACTAATTATATTTTATTTTTATTTGACCATCATTTGGGGAACGTTGTGCCAGAGCTACGGCTGCGCAGCTAATGAGCTTAACAATCAAAAGACAAGAGATTGAAAAATTGGTCATATCTGACGGGTGAAAAAAACAACCCCTAAAATATATATAAAAATAATATTAAAAGGCGAAATTAAAGATTTACTATTTTGGCATGTTAAATTTCAAAGTGGCTGCGTACACCGCGGCGGTGTATCTAGCAAAACCATAGACCTGGGCCTGCGTACACCGCGGCAAAAAAAGTACCATTGGTCTGCTCTGAAGATATGCCAGTTAGATGTGATCTTGTTAGGTCTTGTGGTAGAGAAGTAGAATAGACGCTAGGCGGTATTATATTTTCTGATCAATTCCCAGATGGGGATCGAGTTTGTTCTCCTCCATTGTTTATGTTTTATACATAAATTATTATGTTCATTTGTAACAGTAATTTCATGAGAATGTTAAAAAATAGTTTGTTATATTCAGATTAAGTGTTGTAGTTAAAACTTTTGCCGGCCTTTGAATTTGAAAGTAGTTAGAAAACAAACAGAAAGCGCATGTCGGCATGTATTATGTATTTAACATGCATAATAACCACATAACAATTTTGAATACTAAGTGATATTTTATTGCATTTCAACATTCTTCATGTAGTTGATGTAGACTACAGCATTTCACGAATCTGTTACCGTATGAACATCCTAAGAAAAATTAAATATAAGCATATATGAATATTTATGTGCAACGATCGTCATTTCAATCCCCGTGCTTTCACTATGCAAGTGTACTCACGATATCCACGGTTCATTCACAACCCTCAGTCTCATAGCAAATCTTTTTTGAAAACACCACGATTTTAGAAACACACAGAGTGGTAGCAAACTGTATAGCAAAGTGATAAGTCTGCATTTAACCTGTTTAGGACGGAATTCGTTTCCAGAATGGCATGGCATGTGCTATTCTCAGGGTAAAACACAGCACTGTCCCACAGAAACCATCGCACAGTGCACGTGGGACAGAACACTGTCTCCCAGAAACCATCGCACAGTGCACGTGGGACAGGACACTGTCTCCCAGAAACCATCGCACAGTGCACGTGGGACAGGACACTGTCTCCCAGAAACCATCGCACAGTGCACGTGGGACAGGACACTGCCTCCCAGAAACCATCGCACAGTGCACGTGGGACAGGACACTGCCTCACAGAAACCATCGCACAGTGCACGTGGGACAGGACACTGTCTCCCAGAAACCATCGCACAGTGCACGTGGGACATGACACTGTCTCCGAGAAACCATCGCTCAATGCACGTGGGACAGGACACTGTCTCCCAGAAACCATCGCACAGTGCACGTGGGACAGGACACTGTCTCCCAGAAACCATCGCACAGTGCACGTGGGACAGGACACTGTCTCCCAGAAACCATCACACAGTGCACGTGGGACAGGACACTGCCTCACAGAAACCATCGCACAGTGCACGTGGGACAGGACACTGTCTCCCAGAAACCATCGCACAGTGCACGTGGGACATGACACTGTCTCCGAGAAACCATCGCACAATGCACGTGGGACAGGACACTGTCTCCCAGAAACCATCACACAGTGCACGTGGGACAGGACACTGTCTCACAGAAACCATCGCACAGTGCACGTGGGACATGACACTGTCTCCGAGAAACCATCGCACAATGCACGTGGGACAGGACACTGTCTCCCAGAAACCATCGCACAGTGCACGTGGGACAGGACACTGTCTCCCAGAAACCATCGCACAGTGCACGTGGGACAGGACACTGTCTCCCAGAAACCATCGCACAGTGCACGTGGGACAGGACACTGCCTCCCAGAAACCATCGCACAGTGCACGTGGGACAGGATTTACGCTACATCAAGTTATTTATTTATTTTTTTAAGACATGGATCCGTGCCGGGGGGGAGGGGGTGGGGGTGAGTTATGGGCAGAGGTCCAACAGGGGGCACACAACCAATGAAGGGGGTCTACACAAACCACGGCTCTGGATCAGGGTTGTCCACAAAGAATGTCCGCACCACAAACTTACCTTTTGCATACCCTCACCCCCGCCCCCTGGGGGTTGCTGATGCCGACCGGTATTTTTACAGTGCGTAATGCCAGGAAATAAAACTACAACAAAGCGCATGCACAGAGTCAATACATTACAATTGAAATGTCTCAAATCAGTATAATGCACAGGTCCATCCGTAGAGTGTTGACGCACTGTAGGGGAAGGAGGGGGTAGCTGATTTTTATATGTTTCGAATACTGTTGCGTGTAGTGGTTAGAGAGGGGAGGTGAGGTGGGTTCGGCAGAGAGAACGTACGTTTAATAATTATCCTGAATTCTTCTTCTTCTTCTATATCTTAAGGGCCCACGATCAATTTATTGATCATTTTGGCTCCCATGCATGTAGATGGGATTTGCAATGTTTCTGTGCCTGGTATTGATGAGGAAATTTCACAGATTCCCAGTACCACTTTGTGAGGGAATCATGCACTAGGGGTTTGAAGGCTTGAGGCAATAGACACAAATGTGTCTAGTTTTGTCGCCTCCACCGTTCCTTTTGAAAGATTGTTCCGGTCCCTGATTGTCTTGGGCAGGAATGAGCAGCTCCTAAACTGGCTTCTTGCTGGTATGAGCCTGAATTGCCTGTCATGACCTCGTCGCTGTCTATGGGGGAGAGGGACGAGTTTCTGTTTAATACCGGAACAGTGGACCAGCCAATTATTTATCTTGTACATCATGGAGAGCCTGGATTGTCGTCGTCGTTTCTCCAATGGTGATCAGTCTAGTGTTTCCAGCATACTGGGATTATTTCTTTAATTTCTGACAAGCCGGCCCTGTAATTTAATAATAAATGTTACAAATGCTTTGTATAATAATAATTTGTTAAACTCAATACAGTAAACTCAATACAGTAAACTCAATACAGTCAACTCAATACAGTCAACTCAATACAGTCAACTCAATACAGTCAACTCAATACAGTAAACTCAATAGTGGGAAAATAGATTTACCTCCCCGCCAGCCAATGTGCCCAACCAGCCCCCCTCCCCCCCTCCCCCCCTCCCCCCCGAAAAAAAAGCCACAGAAAATTCAACTAACTATAAACTTTTAAAATTCGACTAATGGCACCAAAAAATAAAAATATTCGATCTCTTGCTACATCTTTTAAAAATGAATTTTTGGCTTTGGGCAATATTTGAACATCAATTTTGTTTTCATATGCATACTTTCTGTTGACTTTGAACCGCGCTTCGAAGAAGCGTGTTTTTGAAATAAACTTTATTATTATTATTATTATAAATGGCAAGTAGATATGTCATTAGTGAGTAGAAAGCAATTGTGTAGTGAGTAGAGAGAAATTGTGTAGTGAGTAGAGAGAAATTGTGTAGTGAGTAGAGAGAAATTGTGTAGTGAGTAGAGAGAAATTGTGTAGTGAGTAGAGAGAAATTGTGTAGTGAGTAGAGAGAAATTGTGTAGTGAGTAGAGAGAAATTGTGTAGTGAGTAGAGATAAATTGTGTAGTGAGTAGAGAGAAATTGTGTAGTGAGTAGAGAGAAATTGTGTAGTGAGTAGAGAGAAATTGTGTAGTGAGTAGAGAGAAATTGTGTAGTGAGTAGAGAGAAATTGTGTAGTGAGTAGAGAGAAATTGTGCAGTGAGTAGAGCGAAATTGTGTAGTGAGTAGAGAAAAAAGATGAAGTTTAAAAAGCTGAAAAATTCATGTTATCCTAATTTTAATAGAAACTAATTGTTGACAGCAACAATTGTATTGTTTGACAATGAAAACAGCAATTTATTAAAGTGTTACCACGATTTTATTTAAATACAAACAAGTAATTGTACAAACAATGTAACAAACAAGTAGATGTACAGACAATCTAACAAACAAGTAAATGTACAGACAATCCAACAAACAAGTAGATGTGCAGACAATCCAACAAACAAGTAGATATACAGACAATCCAACAAACAAGTAGATGTACAGACAATCCAACAAACAAGTAGATATACAGACAATCCAACAAACAAGTAGATATACAGACAATCCAACAAACAAGTAGATGTACAGACAATCCAACAAACAAGTAGATATACAGACAATCCAACAAACAAGTAGATATACAGACAATCCAACAAACAAGTAGATGTACAGACAATCCAACAAACAAGTAGATATACAGACAATCCAACAAACAAGTAGATATACAGACAATCCAACAAACAAGTAGATATACAGACAATCCAACAAACAAGTAGATATACAGACAATCCAACAAACAAGTAGATGTACAGACAATCCAACAAACAAGTAGATGTACAGACAATCCAACAATCAAGTAGATATACAGACAATCCAACAAACAAGTAGATATACAGACAATCTAACAGACAAGTATAGGGGTAATCTAATTTCCCACCAAAACAAGTTCATGTACCGGTATAATTGGCTGACAATGTTAATCCAAAAGAAACATGTACAAATAAAGAAAATTGACAGTATTTTAATCAAAGCGATTGCTTCTAATGTCTGAAACTTTTAACTTGATAAATTTAATCGTATAATTAATCTTTTGAACAATGAAACAAATCTGAATAACTAAGAACGTAAAGAATTCCAATTATGGTAGCGACATCAATTTCAGTATCAAATTTTATATTCGTTTTTAAATTTGTGAAGATCAACTCATCCATAAATGGCATCATGCTATTTTGGC